GCACACACGGAGAGAAAGAGTGTCTCGCAGAACACCCCGTGACGGTGTGAAGAGCGGAAAAAAAAAAGCATCAAATGAGGGAAACAGAAGTACGCACCCTCACTAGAAATGGCAGCAATAATGATCAGAAAGAAAGCATGAGGTGTGCGGCGGCACGTCACCCACCGACATGCCAGCGCTACTCGGCCGCGACACCATCATCCGCAACGACGCTACAGTCCACTAGCACACACTCACACAGACACAGACACACGTGTACATCCCACCACTACCACCCCTCCGCTAAGACTATCCCCATACTCACGCCCACCCATTCATTTACTCCCCCCTTCCCAGTCCCCGAACTTTCACATCTCATCCCACTGATGCAGACACCCAACTACGCTTCGCCCAGGCGGGCCTGCAGTTCCCTTACTTCGGAAAGCAGCTTCTCCGCGCGCAGGGCGTCCCGCTGGTGGGCGTGCCAGTAGTTGTATTCCTGATCCACGTGGCCCATTCGTAGTGCCTCGCCTTGCAGAGTTGCCGACATCCGGTGGCCGCTATCGTCGTCCTGTACACTGTATTGATTCTGCAGCGCCTGTCGACGATGCATTCGTTCCATTTCATTGTAATACAACACCGCCTTGCGGCGAAGCTCGACATGTGGGCCATCTCTTTGCCGCTCAAAGTACTCGGATATCTTATATCGGAATGGAAACGTCGCCGCCACGCCAATGACCATCATGAGCGGCGCATACGAATGCGGGGCGTAGTTCATGAAGCCGATTGGTGTAAACCATGGCCGCTTGGCGTACCGCACCATATTGCTATTTCTAGTGAGTGAGTGAGTGGGCCTTGTTTACCGTGCACTATTCCCTTGCCACTTCACGGCAAACGGTAATGTGGCGCGGAGAGAAAGAAGAAACACCGAAACAAAAAAGGCATCAACAAACCACACAGAGGTTGGTGAAACTGTTCAGTCTTTCCCCCATCGGACCCCCCATTTCCCTCGAAGACCAGGAGAAGCAGGCTTTTTGTTCCCTTCCTCAGTAAACAAGTCTATGCTCCCCCTCTCCCGCATACACACACACACACTCTCTCTCTCTATATATACTCTCTTTGCTCAAGTTACATCACATGTGGCACAATGAGCTACAGCACGATACGACGTGTTAGAAAGGCAATATAAGAAAAGAGAAGTGGAAAACATGAGAGCGTGGGCTTTGTGGTCAGCGCCGCCTCATTGCTTAGCTGCCAGAGCACACTCCCCCTAGTTCCTTCTCCCTCTTTATCTCTCAATTCTTTCCATCCTTTTCAGGTGCCTTGCCTCACTTTTCATGCCTCCTGTTCCTCTTTCAAACCGCATGAAAAGAGATAAAAAAAACACACAAAAACACAGAGGAAAACGTCATCCATGGTCACAACAGATAACTCCCTACAGCTTGAAATCGGGCGACGCAGCCCCGCCACACCATGGGCAATTCTTCCCCAGCACAATATAGCGGTTCCAATCCTCTAGGTTTGCCGATCGCTGGCAGGTGCGACACTTTGTGAGGCCTCCTCCAACGATCGGGTATCCTGTTACCGCACACTCAGGGAAAGTGGCACCGGCGGGTGACTGCAGCGAGCCCTCAAACATCTCTACTTGATTCTGGGGATCCGTTATGGTAGGCAGGTGGGGATCTAAGTTGTTTTCAATTGAGATGGCGAGTACCCACTTGTTCACCGTCTCCTCTGTGGCCTTGTCCACAGACGACGACTTTGGCAGAGCGTACTTCTTGGGGAAGTCGGTGCAATCAAAGTCAGTGTTGTCAATAACAGAACTGTCGGTTGCGCCATCCTCAATCTTCTCGGAGATGTCGAGGAAGCGGTTAAGGTAGAGGAACGCGATGGCATCTGCACCAGCGTTCTTTGCTGTCATACCAGCATCGTAAAAGGCCTTCTCAGGCGCAATGTACGGGATCCACCGCGGGAGTCCGAGCATGAGCTTCAGCGCATAATCATCTAACGACAGCTCCCGCATTCGGGGTGCCATGTAGTAGATGTGGATGATGTGCGCGAGCGCCTTAGCCTTGGTGACATCCTCTGGCTTTTGCCCAGATGTTGCCATACTCTCTGTCACATTGACGAGGCAAGTGTGAAAGCCATCCAGCTTTAGTTTGCTGTCATTCTCCAACGGTAGTATTGTCACGAGCCGTTCCGCCAGATCCACCCACGTCTCGTAGAAGCGGAAGTCACCCGTGTCTAGTGGTAGCCGCTCCACAACGTCGAGCGCCTGGGGCAACTCCCCTTTGTTCAGGTGGTACTTCATCTGCAGCGCCGCCACGTACTTCATCTCTTCCAGCGTCCGCTGCTTCGCCATACGCACAGCATTATCCCAGTCGTTGTTTGCGATGTAAGCCTTGAGCGCCGCCTCGGGGTCAATCTCCTCCACCACCTTGGCGTCCTTCATACCACCGTTCTCGATGCTGTCCTGCACAATAGCACGCTTGACGTGGTCCTCCAACTCGGGACTGATGCGCTTTGCCAGATACTCGGCGAGGTCAAACTTCTTGCCTTGTACGTACATATTAATTGCACCCTTGTAATCCTCACAGTCTTCCAGGCATTTTCCCGCCTCAACATAGCGATGGGCGTCCTTTAGTTTGCCGGTGGCAATGCGCAGGACACCCTTGAGCATGTTGCGGTCGTGTTTCTGTGCCACCTTCACTGCCCGCACCCATAGATTTGCGAGAACGTTAGGATCTGATACCTGTTCTGGGGTGGCGCCGAGATACGTCTCTACGGCCATCTGGTACTCGCCATGCTCCTCCAGCACAGCACCCGCCTTCTTGGGGTCGTTTGACTGCAGCGCAATGCGCTTTGCAATCTCGCCAAGCATCTCGGGACAGTGTTCCTTCGCCACACGTTGGGCCTCCGTGTAGAGGCGGCCATCCATGTACATCTTCAGCAACGCCTCCGGTGCATTGGCGCGCATGAAGAGGGTCTCCGCCTCACGGTAGTTACCCTTCTGGAAACAAATTCGTCCGTTTGCTTGGAGAACGGTTGAGATTGCTGTCTGGTCATAATTCTCTGCCACACGCATCGCGTTCTCGAACTCGTGTTGGTGCAGGTACATATCAATTGCCTCACGCGGCTTGCCAGACTTCAGGAACGCATCTTCTGCCATGCGGAAATCGCCTTGGTCCTCGTAATGCATGGCGTACTTGAGGTACACGTAGGGCAGCTTCGCTGGCTGCGCGAGCTGGGACCACTGAAGGGCCAAGTCAAACTTTTGCGCCTCCAATGCGGCGTCAATGCCGGCGTCGACGAGTGAAAATTTCATTAGGAGGCGCACGCCATCCTCCGCCTCCACCACCATGGCACGGGAGAGCACCACCTGCTTCGCTGCGTTGGCTCCACCATGCACCTTAGCGACACGCACTGCATCTTCCCACATCTCACGGTCACGGTACATGTTGACAGCCCGCCCCCAATCTTTGCCCGCCACATAGTGTGTCTCAGCCATTTTGAAGTTGCCCTCCTTTTCAAACTGTGCTGCAAGGGAGAGGTGCGTCTTCAGCAAGTAGTCCGGACGGCAAGCTTGCACCAGGCGGATCATGTTGGTGTAATCACGGGTCTTCTTGTACATAACAATGGCCTGATCCGGTTCATTCACCTTTAGGTAGATACGCTCCGCACCAGCGTAGTCACCCTTTGCCTCAAGCTGCTTTGCCTGATCAACAAAGAGTGCAACAAGCTGCTGCTGCGCAAGGTGGCGCTGCGCCACGCGGTACATGTGGTCTGACATTCCCGCACGGCTGTACATCTCCACTGCGTCATTGACAGAACCAGCCTTGATGTAAAACTTCTCTGCGTCTCCATATTGATGTAGCCCTTCGTAGTGCCGCGCAATGTTCTTGTAGAAACCCTTCACTGTACTGTCATTGTCAGCGCCCACAGCTTGGCTCTCGAGGATGTTCGTCGCCTTGCTCCACTGGCGCGAATCAATGGCAGCCTTAACGGCTTTGCTGTACTTGTTCGCTTCAATATAGTGGTTAATTGCCTGATCCACGTGTTTCTGCGAGACGAGATAGTCACCCCACGCCTCCTCTAGCACCGTAACCTGATCAGGGTGTGCACGCTTTGCGAACTCCACCGCACGGCTGTACACGTGACCCTTGGTGTAAGCTTGTATAGCGCGATCGTCCATCTTGAGCTTCTCGAAAAAGTCGCCGGCTTTTTCGAACACCTGTGCCTTGAAAAGGGCCGCAGCGATGGCCTCTAGCAGCTGCGACTCGGGTTTCAGATTATTTGCCGAAACCACATTCGCCGCGCGTGCTGGTGTTCCACCACGCAAATACAAATTGATGGCATCGATGTACTTACCGTCCCGTTCTTTCTGCTCGCCAGCCTTTTCGAACTGACCAGTCTCCATTAGCCAGTTGTAGTAGTGTGCACGCTTGTTTGCGAGGTCCGCCCATCCTCGGGCCTCAGCCACACTGATGCTCTCATCAAAGCGGTTCATCTCCTCCCACATGTTCATTGCCTCTTCAATCTTGCCATTCTCTAGGTAAAGCTGCTCCGCCCGCCTGTACTCTTTATTCAGCATAAAGAGTTCGGCGCGCACGGTGTAGTGGTCATATCCATCAGTAAGACCTTCGCTGGCCTTTGCCGCCGCCGCTGCGAGTTCGTTGATGTGATTCAGCGCATTCACCTTGGCGACGTCACCAAGGGCGGCATAGCAACGTTGGGCAATGTGCAACTTCATCTCCTGCAGTGCCAGAGTTGCCAAGCTCGCCCACATTGCTTCTGTCTCTGGGGTAAGGGCAATTTGGTCCAACAGGTCACAAGCTCTGTTGTAATCGCGATCCTCCATTGTGGTACCAAATTCAATGAGTGCCTCATCAAGACTGTATGCAACTGTGTTGACGCCCTCGTCGACTATCACCTCCGTTTTACCGTTTCCGCGCTCGATGCCCTCTACTTCGCCCTTGATAGGGACAACTGCGACACGGTCAGGGGCGTCTATACTGTACCAAACGCACAATTCCACTCGGTTCTGAGCTACAACAACATCGCTTCCTGGCACCCACTGGACGTATGTGCAGTAGTTGAGCAGCGTTGTACGGCTCTGCTCCTCCACATCATAGAGGAACAATTGATGCTGCTTATCTCGGAAGAGCAACTTATTGGCGCGGTAATTCAGCTCAAGCCAATCAATACGGCACTGATGTGGTACGCGTGCAACCGAAATACCACTTCCCAGATCATCAATTTGAATTGTTTGTCTGTCAATGAGGTAAGCAATGAACTTCCGTTCCTGTCGTCCTTCTTCGCCGTTATCTTTGGGTTCGTGTACGCGAACGGAAATGCGGTGAGCATTGCGCTCCTCTGTGCGACATGTACCGAGAAGTTCATTCTTGCCGTACTCTATTAAACAAAGCTCGCCTGCTGCAAAAACCATGCACACCTGTGGATTCTCAAACACAAATTTCTCACGCCCCGTCAGTTGCCAAGGTACCTCTGATAGCTTGCATGAGATAAGGTCACCGACGAGAAGTGTGGTGGATGTATAGGCCACCAAGTAGCGGTCTTGATGAACATTCACACGCTGCACCTCATAGCCTAAGTTCGAGCGCAGCACAATACGTGTCCCTGTTGCTAGGCGCTTAACAATGACTTGATTGTGGCTTACGTATGTGAACTCAAATGCACCGCGTAGGCGGTAACGCCTTAGGCAAGTGTCGAACATGTCCACTGCTCCTGTTACTGATCCAGTCACGATGCGGCTCCCATCGTGCTTCCACGCAATGGCGGAGAAGCCACATGAGTTGGGTAGTTTCACGACAGCGCCCTCTTCCCATTTACGGGAGCGGAGGTTGTAGTCGAGCAGGCGGAACTTTTCGCGGCACGCGAGGACGACGGTCTGTCCACTGGGATTAAAGTTGCCAACGGTGAACTCGCCTTCCTCATCCACCTTGTAGTCAAAGTTTTGCATCTTCTGCCCGTTGCGGTCGTAGAACGTGACGAAGCTGTTCTGCCCCGCCGCGCAAATGTGCTCCCCCCAGAGTAGCACGTACGGGGCACAACTGTGGTTGAATATCTTCTTCGACCCGGACACCTCGTTTGTCTCTTCCGACTCAAAGGTGTACTGGTAAACAGAGCCGTCAAGGTGACCACTGAGGACCTTGTGGCCATCCGCGCTGCTCGCCACCGAGACAACGGCGTGCTCATGCGCATAAAGTGACTGGGACTTGTTAGCCTTTAAAATACCAACTTTCACCTTGCCGTCGAGAGTTCCAAAAACAACGAGCTCCACACCCTGCGAGGTGTTTGGCCAGCATACGCATGTAACCGCACTGTTCTGCGGAAACTTGCTGCAGATAGCTTTCTTCTCCCCCCACTCAATACCAATGCGGTAGATGGCCACCATACCATCAGACTGCGCTATCGCAATCTTGGAGCTATCAGGGGAGAACACCATGCCACGAACCACGAACGGTCTCCCGCTCTTACCATCGGCTGGTTTGGTAGGGAATCTGTCACGCCGCTCCCCGAACTCGTCGTAGAGAATAACGAAGCGACTGCTGTCGGCAACAGCCAGACGCTTGTTATTTGGTGACCAGCAGATGGACTGAATGCGAGCAAAGCCTGGCTGGGAGGCCGTCAACGTCTTGTAGTGTTTCACCTGCATTGCAGAATAGACAACAACAGCTACGGTTTCTGGTTTCCTAACGTGTATGCAAGTACTTGTACCTGTCCGTCCTTCCTTGTCTAGGCGTGTAAGTATGTGTGCTTTGGTGGGTTGATTCTTTCGGTTCCCTCTTTGTCCGTCGCTCTTCTCCTTCCTTACCTCCCACACACTTTTTTCTTTGGTTCTTGTCTTGTCCTCCTTTGTTTCTCTCACTGTGACTGTCTCCTCGACGTGAGCGAGGGGTAACACTCCTGCGTACAGGTGTGCAAGGAAGATGGGAGAGGAAAGAAAGAAAAAAAAAAAAAACCGCCCGATATGCAAGATGGAAAGGACCGCACCAAACAAAACAAAACAAAAACTCATACGCGAGCAGCACCCGCAGCCCACATCCTCTGCCACCACAACCAGCAGCAACAATTCATTACCCACCAACGCCACACTTCGCGCCTGCGGCGGGAAACAACAGTGTTAGAGCATGAGAGATCCGTCGCTCTCCTCGTCCTCTGCCACCACGCCAACGTCCGCCGCATCCCGCTTTGGGTGCAGCGACTGCAACAGTGCGCGCCGCAGATGGCGGAGTGGTACCTCATCATCACATCGTGACACGTCAAACACACACGTGCCACGAGCACCAACCAAACGGGAGAAAAAATCCCGATCGACACAGCTCCTCCGCACAGAAAACACAAGTGCCTCCGTGTCCGTCGCCTTGCACCGCGTCACCATGTTGTACAAGACAAGAATCTTCCCACCCGATGTGGACTCGCTGCTGTCACAACGGGTTGTATTCCCTCCTTGTATCACGCCCTTCCCAACACTTGGCACCTTTCGTCGCGCCACAGCGGAGCAAAGCAGCGGGAATGGCTTGGCAACATCTGTGGGCTTCGTGAAGAGTGCCTCAATCCAGCGAACGCCCCGCATCTCACCGTCCGCCACTGCCATAAAAACAGTAGAGAGCAGCCGCTCAGACCACCACTCGCGGCCATAGTGAAGCAGCAGCTCCTCGCCCTCCTTTAGGTCCACAATAGGAACCAGTGTCAGGAGACGCGTGGCATCGTCGACGCTCAGCTTTACATTGGCCTTGCGTGTTAGGGACTGGAAAAGCCGCTGCTGCTGTGTGTATCGATCCCACTCCGTTGCCCCGGCTGTATTCTGCATGGCTTCATCCGTGGGGCGCGGCAATACGAACAAATCCTCCTGCTCTATACCAACACTAGTGTCTTCGTATACCTGCATGCGCTCTCTGTGCCTCTGCCAATACGTAGGGCTGGCGAGATCGTCTCGCGGTGGAGTTTCCCACAGGACACCGTCGTTGATCTCGAACAAGTGGTCTTCTGGGATTGTGAGAGGCGTTACAACTGGCAGTGGCATACCACTAGTCAATCTGGAGTTGCACAGGGAAGAACTACAAGGTTCTGCATGACATTCTTCAATTTGTTCTTTGCTAACCTCCTTCCCTTCCTCCTCCTCTTCTTCTTCTTGTCGCTGCGGCATGGCACTAGACGAACCACCTTCACTACCACGTGCCTCAGTTATTGTTGCTGATGGGCTTTGTCGCGGTTTCTTTCTTCTTATTATTTTGTCCTGCATATACCGATGGTGGTGACGCTCATGCCATGCCAGCAGCCCTGAAGCATCCGGAAGGGGAGCGTGGCTACTTGGTGCAATTAGATACCACCCGGCCGCCGTGGGAACGTTGAAGTACTGGCCAGTGCTGAAACGATGCCGTAGGGCGAGAAAGCGACGTAGCGACACGGTGTGGCGTGGTGCACGGACAAGATTCTCCATGTACGGCGGCGCGATCGCGCCAGGCAGCGGCGCTACCTCAATTGGAGCGAATTTTTTCACTGCTCGAGTAAGGAAAACCCCGTTAGCACCCGGGACAACCCCACTCTGCGCCACACGCGTCAACGGCATTCTACCTCTCCCTTTGCTCGTCTTTTACAAAGTTATAGTGAATAAAATGGTGTGGAACAGAGCACAAAAGAGGGATGAAAAACAACACAACATTTTGTTCTGTTTCTCACACAGCCATAAAGGTCAGGCATAAGAAGGGTACCACTACACGACTGGGCAACTCGTGCCTAGAGCGAGGGGNTGTTTCTCACACAGCCATAAAGGTCAGGCATAAGAAGGGTACCACTACACGACTGGGCAACTCGTGCCTAGAGCGAGGGGGTAGATAGCACCATGTAGAGTGCTGTCATAAGTAAATGAATAACACAAGACAAAAGACAAGAAGCAAACACCGTAATCCGCGGGCACAGATACACATACACATTCATACACATTCATACACACCTCCCACAATTACAGACACACAAACTCTCTCCCTCACCCAAAGTCTTTCTACCAGATTCACACGTTGCTGAAGAGTCTGCAGCCCTTCGCAATGAGTACGAATATGACTACAAGACAAGAAAAAAAATCTTTTTTTTTTTGCGGTGGTGATAATTGTTCTTCTCATTTTCTGTTTTTTTTTTTTTTTT